CGTCCTTATGCGAGTAATCGTCTTGTTACGTGAATCAGTGTATGATAAGTGGTGATGAGTACATCATTCAAAGAAACTGGTTAAAGATCTATATACTTTCACTTCCTCACTGCAAGGCTCTCTAAGGCGGAAGACGGGCAAAGGAACCGTAAATTGCCGCTTCATTGCGCGCGGCAATGGGCGTGATGTTCTCTTAATTCGCACTACCCTTCCGATTGGAGCATCAATTTCATGTAGACGAGGACATGGTGGACACATTTATGTGTATTTTTGGTCATACATTGTCTATTCTCGACACCACTGGAATCGTCGCCATAAGCAGGCGCGACGTCGCACGCGTCGCACTTTACTTCTTGTGAACGATCTAACCATCAGAGGTGTTCACCTCCCCCGCTAGACAGCAAAACCATGAAAAAACTCGGAAGATGGTAGGCAGCAGGTAAGGAATCATATTTTAGAGGCGTCTTCCCCAATCAGCGGCACCGTTATAGCGCCTAATTGAGGACATGCCGACACAACGCCCAACGCAACCACCCGCCCACGAATGGGCGTACAGACACATCGACGCTGGCCTTATTGCTCCATTTTTGAAGTATAATTGATATGAAGCGTTGCTACATGGATATATATGTGCAGCCGTACCTATGAAAGCGGCATTTGGCACGATGCCAACCGGAACTCGTCCAAAAACACTCGTCCTGTGCCGTTGAGAAAAAATGTTTTTTCGCGGGTTTTTGGTCGTTTTACTTCGCTTTCTCGTCATTTTCTCACTACTTGGCGCTCCTGCTACTACCTATGAACAACTACCAAATGGTCGCGCCCTCTTCTTTGAGACGAGATTTTGGTCGTAATGATATTGTCGTTCCACCCAAATGAAGAATACTGAGTGGGAAGAGATGAGGAGCCCGCCACACACACCGCCCGAGAAGGAAAGACTGCATAGTTCCCTCACCGCCTCCTCCCTCCAGCTCCACCTGAGATCCCTCCATGGACGGCGAGGTGCAGCACAGTACGAGCCCCCTCCTCTCCCTTCCACAAACCTTTCCGTCACGAAGTTTGCCTCAAGCAGATTTTCCGATCGGGACGAGGAGTGGGAGGGGCGGGTCCCAACGGAACAGGAAAACCGATAAGCAAAATCAAGGACAGGAAATTCTTTTCAACGCGGACATTCTCGATTTCTCGTTCCCTCCTCAGCGAAAACTGTGCTCCCCGCCCCCCCTAATTGTGTTACCACACAACGATGCTGCTACCGTTCGGGAGCGGTTCGTTGGTGTCAATGGTTTCAGACTCAACTGGAGTATTCAGACTCAACTGGAGTATAACTGCATTGAGATGTTCATTGACTGGACCCTGTAAGCATAGTTTTCCCTGCATATGCTTGAGTGTGTCAGGGGGTGGGGTTTGGCGCCGCGCCAGCTCATTCTCCACCAACTGTGACAGTGGGCAAGCGACAACATTCAGCCTTTCTGTGTACATGCTGAACACCATATCCTGACCAACTATCGAAACTAAGGGACATAAGTCATGGAAAAATTCATATAATTTCATAAGTCATAATTTAATAGAACGGACATCGATTCAACACTAAACAACAGAAACCATCCATAGTAGCACTTAGAGGCTCGTATACATAAAACTCTCCGTTTTATACCAATAAAACACACATACATATATCCGATAATGGACGATACTTAGAATAAGAGAAGCCTCTGAAATCACATTTGCGCAGACAAAAAAAAACAAAACTCGTCAAAAGAGATAAAAAAACAGTAATGACCATTTTGAACATTCTAGAGGTGCCTTAAACGAACAAAAAAAAGGAAAATACACGAGCACTTAGTTTTAGCTACCGTATGAAGAAACCAACCAATCGGCAATCTCATATCCCGTTAATGAAAGTGAAATAAGAGTTTGATAAATTAACTATTGAAGAGTTCGCAGGAGCAGGTCGGCGACGGGAGGGGGGGAGGGCGTTTTGCACTTTCGCTGCTCCACTAGTTCCTGTGTACCAGTCTTACTCTAGTAAAACGTGTGAACCGTTCTCTGCGAAGTCTTCTGAATCTGGAGACAAGCTCGTCTAGCCACCATGGTAGAACCTGTCAACTCTTGTAAGCTCATGAAATGGCTCTCTAGATGGGTCGACACGTCGATGGGAAGTAGCAAAAGTGCAAAATGCCCCCCCCCTCTTCCCAGTCGCCACTACCCCGAGCTCACCATTCTGGCGATTACAATCACAGTAACTTATTTATGCAGTATTGAATTTCTGTGAGTTACTTGAAATTTTTAAATATATTCATAAATTATTTGAAATTTCCTTATAATAATGACTATTTATGGCTATTGTAGTGCACAGACCGAGCACGACTTTTGTATCACAGTTAATGGCTTTGCAAGAAATTGAGCTAAAACTAGTTGATTGTACAAGAATTAGTCCATTGCTCGCCGTGGACCCAGCGAATACTACTTGCCGCCTCGCATCAAACAGATCGACTTCGCTCCCTGCCTCGTCTACCTGGCAGCCCAAACGACTCCTGTAGCTTGGGATTACCAGCCGAAATGCGGGAGGAACGAACCATTCTTCCAGGAGGTGGGTTTTGCAAGTTGAACGAAGCAACTGAAACCATTCACCTATGTAATGAAACACGTAAGATGGTGGAGACTGTTGGAGGGCACCTTTTTCAGCAGATAACTGGGAAAACGGGGTTTTTTTTGCCAGCGGGCTGGGCGGCGATTTCTTCACTGCTCCTTGACGAGGTAAACTCAGAGCCTCAGCTACGATGTCCAAATGGGCAGCAAAGACATGAAGAATTGATACATATCCCAAGCTGGAAACATTGGAAAGTTCAACTCTAAGCGCCTAATCTTGGAAAGTTCAACTCTAAGTGCTAAAACCTGAGAGGGACATTTGAAGGACTTCACGTCCATTAGGATTGACGTCATCCGTTTGTTTAAACAAGTTCGCCCATTCCAGAGCTCTTTTGCCTTCTACACTTAGGCGCAAAACCTTTATCTCCATCCCGATAATTCTTGTTTTGCACAGGGAGGCCTTTATAAGCTCCTCTATAGCGCCTGACTCTAGTCGAATCAATTCATGCCAGAAGGAAACTAACAAGAAAACGGAAAAGAAAGAGGAAACTCAGAGCAAAAGTAAGTGCAACCACGCGATGGGCGACTATGTGACGTCAAGCGTGCTTGTCTGCGCCCTCTCTCCGACAGGGTACGTCCTGCCGTTGGGGAAAAATTTGCAAGACACGACTCCCTCAAAAGTTCCTCCTTCTGGTTCGAACCCCTCCCCGTGCACCGTCCTACCTACCATCTCATTCAATCCTCCCCACATTTCTACCACTTCTTTGGAGAACGACGACAGTCTCCCCCCTAAAAACTACGTCGAGGGCGGGGGAGGGGTGATGTACGGGGAGATATAGCGCACGGGAAACAGGAAAAAGCTAGAACAGTTACCAGCCGAAAACATTTTCCTCAGACAAATACGACCTTCTCCCTTGTTCCAGCGACCAAATACGACCCATCGCTGCCTCCCCAGCCTCGTGGGTTTTAGAGAGGTGTAAAGAAAAGATCAAGTAAAGATTACCAATTCTCTCTCGCCCATTCAAGAAGTTCTTGGCAGCCAGACACTGTGTGCTTGAATGCCTCAACACCGGCTTTCTTGACCGATTCTGAATTGATCTCGCGACGCAATTGAAGAACATCCCGAGAGACTACGCAAATCTGCAAAGGGACATCATTTCCTTGAACATCCCCCAAATTCAACCACAAAACTTACCAAGAAAATCCAATCTAAACATCCAGCACTAGAGAACCAAGTCATCAGATGTGACATTTGGGCTAAGCTCTCTGCTGATCCTTTGTTAGAGGTCTCTCCTACCAGGAATTTCAAGCCTTCAACGAGCATTCTTGATTGTTG